CATTTTTATCGCAGATAACATTTGTCCTTTTGATGAATGTTGTGTGTTAAACACAAACAGTAAAACACAGTTGTTTGGTGCAGCAGAAAAAAATATTCGCAAGTATGCAAAATGTCACACTCATATTTGCAATTCAAATGTAAGCTCTTCAGACTTGCTGGTGTTTCTTGATTTGATTGGCAGACATTTCATAATCTTCCTCTCCTGGGTTCAGCTATTATTCCCATCTTGGACAACAAACTGAACAAATTTACTTTTCCTTAAGTGTTATCCTACAAAATATTAACCAGTAGAAATAGCTATGATTACAGTTCCATTGAACAGTAACAGTTAAACTGTGATGATATAGCTATCTATTTTGCTATCATTTAAGGAAAAGGTGTGAGAGAAAGGTAGCAGCATTGTAGCTGCTATCGCCAGGGAAAGGTAAGTCTCTCACCTTCTGAATAAATGCCAAATGCGTATGAATGTGATAATGAACTCATTCATATCTATTCATTACTCAAGGTATTCATTTAGGTTCAGGTTTTCATTCTTGACAAATGTCTACCTCTAAAATGTTGTAGGTGGCTACCATCTTGGATGAGCAATTGCGGATAAGTCAAATTCATGGCAGATACAGCTATCAATGATTGCTAGTTATGGTATCTATGGCTTTAGGTCCATCTGAAAATATGTGTCTTCTGTCTCCCCTGTCTTAGTGTTGCCCTTGTAGAACTCAGCAGGGAGGAAAAGGATGGGGAGAAAGGTAGAATTAGTTGCCTCTGTCTGTCATTGGCTATGTCTGTGCGTCTGTTTGTTGGCCTCCCTCCCTACCGTCCCCAGCCACTAACTGTACATCTACATTAATTCCCCGCTGCAACAGCACTGGTTCACTCAACTGCTGCGCCATTATACCCTGCCCAACTTATGGCTCTTCCCAACAACTTGTTTCATCCTGATTTGCTTGCACAAATTTGCAAGGAGGTTAAACAAGGTTGCTGCTTATTGAGCATTCATTTTGATCTGCTTGCATGGAGATGATGATGGAAGTCACCATTATCCCACACTTGCCAGAGCATCCCCCCCCCCATCCCTGTTCTTACAACAAAATTAAGCTGTTGGGTTTTAGGGTTTTGTTTTGTTTGGAAGCAGGCATGTTGTACAAGAACACCCAATCCACTCTGATTTCACAACCTAAATCTGCTGGTATACAATGGAATTGTACCCACAAAAAAGTGTTGACAGTCTGGAAGTTGCCTTAGTTAATTTAGAGAAGGGGGCCATAGCCTAGTGACAAAGAATGTGCTTTGTAAATAATAAGAATAAGAATAAGGACTCAGGTTTGTTTGCTTGTTTAAATTATTTTAAACCCACTCTTCATTCTGTCCCCCTCTGCACTACACATTTAAAGCAGTATCATAACACTTTAAAGAGCCATGGCTTTTCTCAGAGAAACTTTGTTTATTAAAGGTGCTGAGAGTTGTTAAAGGCCCCGATTCCCCTCACAGAACTGCAGTTCTCAGTATGCTTTAACAATAAATCCCTCTTCCTAGGGGACTTTATTGTTTGCGGGAGATTTAAGCGTGGGGCTCATCCCTAGCTACTGCTACTTACAACCGTCACCGTGAAAAGGCAGCAACATATTTGCTTTGATGGTCAAGCCAGGCATCATGCCAGGATTGTACCCAGTGAGCACAAGAGTACCCTTCGAGAAAGAAGCTCTTACATGCGCCTTTCAAAGTCAAATGTAATGGACCGGCAAACACGAAAGGTCAAAACAATCAATAAAGTACTCTGTAGAGCTAGGGGAGGGAGATAACGTTCCCATGACCCACACTGATTGATTTCCATTTAAAATGGAAACATTGCCGAATGCATATTCCACGCATCCCCATCCATATGCATATCTAGCTCTAAAATGTCACAAACTGACAAGCGCTCTGCTTTCTGCATTGCTTCCACTGCTCTGACCTTTATTTCCTTGTAGGCCTGCAGGGTGGTAGAGAGTTTACTATGGCAAAGCGCAGCAGCTTAATGGTTCCCTATCCTTTTGCTACTCAAAAAGATGGAAGGTGAATTTGCTCCCAACTGACACCCTTAAACGCTCCAGCTGACTTGGGTCTGGGTGCCTTCCTAGTGCATGGATATCACTGTGACATTTTCCACCGAGTTCATGGGAGGAGCAGTGGCGTAGCGTGGGTTGTCAGCACCCGGGGCAAGGCAAGTAATTTGCGCCCCCTAACCCGTGGATTTGCGCCCCCTAACCCTAACCCCCAGATGTTGCGCCCGGTGCGGCCGGCCCCCCCTGCACCCCCCACGCTACGCCACTGGGGAGGAGGGTTCTGTGTCTCCCAGAGAGAATCAAGGTGATCAAAGTAGCAGTTTCCTTTTTAGAAAGTGCACAGTACACAACAGGCAAGTGACAATGTTAGAGCAAAGTTAATCAATTACAGCAGTGACATTTAAATGCAAATCACTGGATGCCTTGTTCTGATATTTGTATAAAAACAGTCAAGTGTGTACCTTCCAAAATTTTGACTGGTTCCAATATAAATAAAGAGCCTGCAGCCAATGAGTTGCTCCCCTCATCTCCACTGTCCTTTTCTGCAAACTTTACCCACTTTCCCCCTCATATTACTCTTTCTCTGCCTATTTCCTACTCTGCATCCTTCCTTCAACCATCTTCCCAACTTATCTCCTACTTCAAGGATTACTTCCCAGTCCTCAGCCTTTCTCACAAAGGTACTTGTGCCATTTATCCAGCCTGTGTAATGCCAGACAAATTAACAGCTACCTCTTTCTTCACAGAAACTGAACGGCAGATATTCTGGCATGTTTGTACCCGGAGCACTTGAAATGTTTGTGAGCAATCTCAGGAATCTTCAGGAGCCCTATTAAATAATAATAATAATAATAATAATAATAATAATAATAATAATTTATACCCCGCCCATCTGGCTGGGTTTCCCCAGCCACTCTGGGCGGCTTCCAACAGAACACTAAAATACAATAACCTATTAAACATTAAAAGCTTCCCTAAACATTGCTTCCGCTGCTCTGACCTTTATTTCCTTGTATTAAAAGTATTTGCCCAATGTTTTCAAGGATTCCTTGCATCTGTGATGATGTTGTGTTAAAGTTCTTAACCCCTCATTAACTCCCCCAACATACATTGCTGTTGCTACTGCCAGGTATGTTTGGGGGAAAGAGGAGAAGCTCGGGACTCAGCGACTCAAGAGGGAGCCAGCCCTACCATGAGGTAGAGTGAAGCAGCTGAATTACTGTCAGTCTCATGGTGAATAAGAAAGCACTGAGGTTCTCTTTGTTAAATGTGATGGGAACTAATCTTTCTCCCCCTCTCTCCGCTCCACACACAAAGGTCTTGTTTGACTGCCATGTGCATTTCTAAAGAGGGATGTTTCTGGTGTGATTTCATAGCCTCTGAAGGCAGGGACTAACAACTAGTTCAGAAATCTGAAGAGCCAACTGCAAATTAGCCTTTCTGTACGTCAGGGGTGGTGAGATGTTACTGGCCTACAATTCATAGCATCCCAGTGGCCATGCTGACTGGGGCTGCTGGGAGCTGAGAAAGGCTGAACATACAACAACCTGACTTGCCCAAATGAGGTGAGAGAAGCCTTTCCTATTTCTTTATTTCTGCCCATCATGCTGCCGCTACTGACACAGGAAGTGAACTGAGGGTGAGAATGTGGCACCCGTTACAGCGGTACCTCGGGTTAAGAACTTAATTCATTCCGGAGGTCCGTTCTTAACCTGAAACTGTTCTTAACCTGAGGTACCACTTTAGCTAATGGAGCCTCCTACTGATGCCACGCTGCTGCCACGCGATTTCTGTTCTCATCCTGAGGTAAAGTTCTTAACCCGAGGTACTATTTCTGGGTTAGCGGAGTCTGTAACCTGAAGCGTCTGTAACCTGAGGTACCACTGTAATATATTACACATAGAGCAGAGAATGGGTTATACTTGAAAAAGTAGCCAGCCTTAGCTGCCTGGTACTTTAAGGGTGCTTAAATGTGCACAGTTAATACTCTGTTGAATAGGTTTTCCTCCCCTTCCCCATATAATAATGTGTTGTATATAAATTAGTGCAGAGTGATTCAAAGGCAAAAGAACACACTGTTTTTCTTCTTTATAAGCAGCAGCATGGAATTGTGCAGTTAGGCGCAGCAGGTGGAAATGGCCTGCAAATATTCAAAGAACAGCTCACGCTGGCAACCGTGCCACAGACATTTTTTAAAGCCCTGGGAGAATCAGAGCATCTCATTCATCCACACAAACCTATCAAGAGCTAAGAGCGGGAAATGTCAGTGTTGAATAGCAAGTGCCTCATGTGCCTTGCTGTCAGATCGTGTGCATAGAGAAACGAGCAGAAGACACTGCAAAAGCTAAATGCAAAGTTGCAATCCTATCCGTTGAGTTCAGTGGGACTCACTTCCAAGTACAGTGGTACCACGGGTTAAGAACTTAATTCGTTCTGGAGGTCTGTTCTTAACCTGAAACTGTTCTTAACCTGAAGCACCACTTTAGCTAATGGGGCCTCCTGCTGCCGCTGCGCCGCCACTGCACAATTTCTGTTCTCATCCTGAAGCAAAGTTCTTAACCCGAGGTACTATTTCTGGGTTAGCGGAGTCTGTAACCTGAAGCGTATGTAACCCGAGGTACCACTGTAAATAGGGCTGAGCTAAATAATGTACAAGCAGAGATAAGTAAGCCCCACAGAGCGAATGACAGCCACTTGTTAACTATGTCTGCACAGCACTGACCCATTCCTCCACAATCCTCCACAGTCATATGATGCCTGATGATAAAGTTGTGGGCCTCCTCCTTCTTGGTCTCTACTCATTAGATACAGTCCTTGTGGGTAAAAACCCTGATTGATTGGGTCACAAAACTATGGACTCAGGGCACAGGTATAGAAACACAGAATCATAGAATTGTAGAGTTGGATGGGACCATGAGGATCATCTACTCTAACCCCTTGCAATGCAGGAATCTTTTGCCCCACGTGGGGCTTGAACCCGTGACCTTGAGATTAAGAGTCTCATGCTCTACCAACTGAGCACAATACCCACCAGAGAGTTGAGACGGCAACTCCCATCAGCACCATGCAGCATGGCCAATTGTCAGGGATGACGGAGGTTATAGTCCAAAACATCTGAGGGCATCACATTAGTCACCTTTGCTCTGCAGAATGGAAGCCAACACTGGAAGCCAATGTTGGTAGCTTCCATCATTCCACCCTGGGGCTGCACGTATAGGCAGGAGCAGGCCTAGGGAATCTGCCACTCTCCGGGTGCAGATGGGCTATCATTTTCAGCATTCCTGACCATTGGTTATGGTTGCTGGGGCTGCTGGGAGTCCCCCATCGTCTGAAGCTTATCCCTACTTTTAAGTGGTGCAGAGTCTCACACTTCCTGCTCTCGTTCAGTTGCTCTACTATCCAATAATGCCCATGAAAAATGCACTTGGAAGATTAGCTTCACCTGGGGAATAGCACTCAACTGAAGAAGCACTCTGATTCACTTTTAATAAGGGGTGTGCATGTGTGTGCTTTCTTCAATTTTATTTATTGAATTAATTTCTTTAGGAGAGTTTACAATCAAAGAATCCCTAAGCAGTGATTCCATAAGGCGTACATTTATCCCTCCGTAACTCAGCAGTATCCCTGCTTGGAAGAGTTATTTTGTTCATTTCTCCCACGCTGGGTTTGTCTCATTTTCAGGGGGAAGCTGAAGAGCTCTTCGAATCAGGAAACAAACTACTTTCCATGCACTATCCCCCCCCCCCCCATATATCAAATTGGCCAGATAAAGTGTGTCACCTACTTTGTTTATAACAGGGACAGGGAACTTGTGTCTGCCTTTATGCCACGGAGTGCAATTCAGTGTTTTAGTATAGACATCTGAGGCCCTAAACACTTGGGATAAGAAGCAGGACCAGTGAGGGCTGTGGCCTAGGGGCAGGTCCAATGGCCAAACAGAGAGATCTGGAGAGCTACATTCAGGACTTTGCCACTCCAGCACTGAACAACTTTGCACCTAGTTATATGAAGGTATTGCTTTTGAATTACGGTGCTGGAGGAGACTCTTGAGAGTCCCATGGGGAGTTCCTCTCCATTCTTAAGGAAATCAGCCCTGAGTGCTCACTGGAAGGGCAGATCCTGAAGCTGAGGCTCCAATACTTTGGCCACCTCATGAGAAGAGAAGACTCCCTGGAAAAGACCCTGATGTTGGGAAAGATTGAGGGCACAAGGAGAAGGGGATGACAGAGGACGAGATGGTTGGACAGTGTTCTCGAAGCTACCAGCATGAGTTTGACCAAACTGCGGGAGGCAGTGGAAGACAGGAGTGCCTAGCGTGCTCTGGTCCATGGGGTCACGAAGAGTCGGACACGACTAAATGACTAAACAATAACAATATGAAGGTATGTGTCTCCCAGAGCCATTTTTGCTCATGCCACCCACCCTGAGAACAATCCTGTGTATGTCTGTTCAGAAGTATATCCCTTTGCATGTTCAGTAGAGTTTACTCCTAGGTAAGTGTGCCTAGGATTGCAGACTGAGAACTAGCTAAGATGTTGATTCAAAAAGCCACATCCTTGGTCCCTCCGCTGGATCCAGCTCCTTACATCACCAGCCCTCTCCTCAGGTGCTGACATTTCTTAGGGGCCCAATTTGCCTCCCTTAACAGGCTGGGAGCCTCCCCAAGGTCATCCAGTTCCCATTCTTCTCCAGGATTGGACCATCCCTTCCATCACATCTTAGCAGGACTCGTGACATATCCTTCTCGAGGTGAAGTGACCAGAATTGTACACAGTATTCTGAGTGCAGTCACACCATAGATTAGTATAACGGCAGGGCTTTTTCCCCAGCCAGAACTCACTGGAACTCAGTTCCGGCACCTCTCAGGTGGGTACCATTGCCATTGAAAGAGAACAAGGGAGGCGTTCATGGTGAGTTCTGGCACCTCATTTTCTAGAAAAATAGCACTGTGATATCAGCAGCTTTGTTTTCAATGTCTCTCCTAATGATTGCCGTTTTCAATGCTGCCACACACCGGGTAACACCTTCACTGAGTTGTCCACTGTGATCCCCAAGGTATCTATCCTAGTCAGCCGCTACCAGTGCAGACCCCATGAGCTATAGGTAAAATTTAATTACCTTGCCCCAATTTTCAGCAGGAAGCGAGTGCCACTGAAGTGGGTAGAGATGATATAGAAGCAGTTCTCCTTGGTAGATTTCAGCGGGTTTGCTTTTAGTGCTGAAAATAGGAGATCAGTAGCAGGCAGCCCCAATCTAAAAATAAAATAAAAATGTGTTCATCACAAAAAGTAACTGAAATGACCATGAATAATTTAGGTGCTTGTTCAAAGGCTGTTTATTAAAGCAACTCTGGACTTGCCGCACAGTCATTTTTGCTATGCCTATCATACAATACGTTGCACTGTTCTGTGCCTTAATGGCTGATACCCAGCTTCAAAACAGAGGTCAGTTTCATTACTTCTAGTGATCCTCCCTGTCCAGTAACAGTGTAATAACAACGCAATGTCACAATACATCAAAGGCGCCACGGAGGAAATTGTTTTCCCCTCCCCTCCCCTGATTATTATGCTGATAATTAGGAGGATACAAGGGAGGTATTTTTATTCAGCTGCAGGGTATAAAATTAAGGTTGGGTCAAACAGGTTCTGGTGAATTTGAGAATGAATATGTGCACGATGCAGCTGAGTTTTGACAGGGAAACATAAGCAGCTCCCATAACAAGAGAAAAATCTTATCCCGGATGGCGGTTTTGGAAGTGGTCCACTGTGTGGTCTGCATACTTCTGTCATCTCTCCATTTGGATGTAGCACACCTATGGGTGACTGTGGTACAGACAGAATCAATGTTTTTGGTTTGCTCTAGCACTATATGAATGATGATAAATATATAAAAAACATTCCCAATGCTTAAGTACCTGCCCCCCAAAACAACACTTTAAAATTCCCATGAAGAGCCCACTGTGTTTGAAGTATGCTTCTAGACTTCTTTTTCCTTTCTTGAAAGGCCCATCTGTAGAACCATCGTGTGCACACATTTGCACCTGTCTAGACGGCTTTGCTAACACTCGCCTGCATCATCTGTTGTCCTCTCGCCTCTCTGGAACTCATTGACTGCTTTTGCTGCTTGGAGGAGCATCGCGGCATCATCGCCGCCTCTGGCGCCTGACCCAGAATTTACATGACAGTGCACACATTTCACTCTGCTCTACTGTAGCGTGGAAAGTTACATCGCAGGCCAAAGACGTCTTTCTGTGTCTCTGGGAGCAGATTGCACATGCTCCCTTCTCCTGCTCCTGCTGCAAAGTTTCTGTCCTTGACATTTCTGGCTACACTTTCCATGGGAAGCTGCGTTGTACTTGTAAGAAATATTTTGAACCAATGCACTCTTTGTCTATGTTGCTTATATATGTATTTATAAGAGAACACTGAAGAGGATCTATGGTTGGAATTCACCTTTTTCAGAGGTGCCAGAGGGTCGATGTCTTTGCTTATCTATTCACCATGATGCAACATCCCTGACCCTTACCATGCCAGTCCTTGCCAGCTCTGACCCTATCAGTGGATATCTGAACCGAAGTCCTTTTTTTAAAAAAAAATTGCCCCAGTGTGCATCATTTTATACTTACTTGCACTGAACCATATTTGACATTTAATTGCCCAACAATCCATTTTGGAGGTATCTTCACATTCCCTTTACCCTAGCATATGCATTTTTGTACACATTCCCTGTCTGGAGACGAGCATTGCAAAACCGGAAAGAGTGTGGATTTTGAAGAATGGATGTTTTTTGTTTCTCATGTTCTTTTCGAAAGTGTGTATTGGGTAGGTTCGCCTTTAAATGCGGACTGAATTGGTTTTCACCCCGCCTCCGTGGCAGTAGCCCATGGGAGGGCATAAGACTTGACCCCTCCTCACTCCCTTGTCCAAGGGCTTTCCAGCCAATTTTGCGTGGTTAAATTCTAAACAAAACAAGGAAATGTTCTATCCCAGCCCTTTCTGTATAATCCACAGTGCTGATTATTTTGACTCTTGAAATAGAGACTTCAGTTTTGGCATGGGTTTGGAGGCAACAGCTGTCTCCATGCCCATGTAGGTAAACAGAACTGTGTAGTGTACGACTAATGCTGCAATGCATTCCAACACTGACCTTTGCTGTGCGCTGTGCATCATTTTACTCAGCATTGTCTGTGTTCTGTGGCTTCGTCTAGTAATCCCCTGCGGCTCCAGCAGTTCATGCCATACAACTCCATCTGGACCCAAAAATCTGGTGTGTTTGCTTGTGTTGAAATCTAGCTGTGCATCCCAGTCTTGATTTTGAAAGCACAGGTTGTTGTTGTTGTTGCCGTTGCCTTGAGATTGTATTTATCCCCACAGTGCATGGCCAGGAAGAACACTGTGTATGCATTTGCAGAGTTACCGGTACCTCTTAGGGAACTGGGGAAGAGGATATATAGAAAACAACAGGTACAGACCTAGTCATGGTTGGTTGCGATTCATCTGGCATTTGGGATCACAAGCAGGTTCAGCTGGAAGCTTTCTCAAAGGACATTATGTTATGACTGTTCAAGGTGGCAAAAGGATGCCCCCTATGTCTTCTTGTAAAAGGCAACAGCCAGTGTAGTAGTAATATGTGGGTTTCCAGAGATGTCCACATGTTACCTTCAAAGAGTGTACAGTCTGTGTACCTGTGTACACAATAGTTGAGCTGCGCAGATCAACATGTGTACATTCTTTCAGTGCATGCCCAAACATCATCATCATCACCACCACCACCATTATCATCATCATTTATTGAATATCTATATCCACTTCATCTAGGGATCACAGGGCAGTTTACAAGATAAACACTGGTACACATGTAGAGACATTCTGTCATTTAAAACAAACAAACATATAATTAAAATACATTAGTAAAATTATAAAGTAAGGTTTGAAACTAAGCATGACCAAGGATAAGGAATGATGGGAGCTGGAGTCTAACAACCTCTCTAGAAGGCCACAGGTTCCCCACATTTGCCCTAACAAATG